TTTAGGTTTTTTGCAAAATCATTTAGAAAATTTATTGGAGGACGTGCCACTGAGTATTTACAGGGACATGTGGTTTCAGCATGATGGCTGCCCAGCGCACTATGCACTCTCAGTGAGAGAGTATCTCGATCAAAACTTTCCAGGCAGATGGATAGGGCGGTCTGGTACAATACCGTGGCCAGCCCGGTCACCAGATTTGAATCCGTTAGATTTTTTTTACTGGGGAACTGTAAAAGAAAAAGTGTATTTCAAGCCGATTCAAAATGTAGCTGAGCTAAGGCAAAGACTATTGGAAGCAGCTGAGTTTGTTAATAACCGTGGATTCGCTCGTTTAATAACCCGATCTTTTTTAAGAAGATGTCGAGCGTGTATTGCGGCTGAAGGAAAACAGTTTGAGCATTTGCTGTAAAGGTAAATCATCATCAGCAGCATTTTGACGCCCACTATTGTGCAAACAGTTATCCTTAAGTGTCCTTGTGCGTTTTCATAATCGCTGTTTAATTAGGAAATCAGTTTTCATCAGTTTTTCTTCAAATAAAAATTGTGCATAAGTTAACGAGTAATCTTCTAAGTGTTATACCATTTTGGAATCCTTATTAAATGCGCCAACTTTTAAGGTTACATGCCAAACTCTCGTAGTACATTTTTTCCAGTACAGCCAGTTAAAGTTGAGCAAAGTTTTACTTTGGAATACTTGGTTGGAAAATAAATGGCAATTTTTCCTGAACGAGAAAAGTTGGCAGTAAGATTGAGACACCAGTTTGAAGATGCATTATTCATCATTACATTGTAAAAATAAAATCCAAAAAAAGTTAATATTTGTAGTAACAGGAGTTGACAGACTGCCGTAGGGTGTGAAATTTCTATATCTTTTTCATAGACCTATAATTTTCAAAACACATACATAAAATGTTCTAAAATATTTTTCTGATAGCTGTTATGACTTTGCCTATCACCCGGTTTCGGCTTGACGTCGACTTCTGGGACACCCTGTATAATAATAATAATAAACCGTCTTAGTGAGCAGCTTAATGGCGAAGTTTAGCTATGGCAGCTATTCTTACACTTAACCATTTACTGCATAAGAATAATAGATGGTAAAAAAGTACAGCTGTAAAGAAAATAAAAGGAGGAAAATGCCGATGTAACTGATCACAACCTAAATAAAAATTAGCTTAAAAATATAATGCTGGAGAAAAAGCACCATTGAGCAGAAGAACTTTTAAGTGTTTTTTAAAACTATACAGCGGCAGGCTTTTTGTTCTGTAATCTAAGCTATTGTACAACATACATGCATTATATGAGAAGGACCTGTTAAAAACAGATGAACTATGAAGTGGCATTGTTAAAGCGAATGTGTTACGGATATGTCGTTGATGAACATTATACCTAAAAATTAGTTTTTCACGTAAATAAATTAGAGGTTCCAGAGACAAGTAACTTATGTATAAAGGTTAGATAGTAGTATTTAACTAAATCTGGCATCTTTAACCAACTTATTAAAGGGTAACGATCCGAAACATGATCAAATTTTCTTAAACTAAATATGAATCGTACGCAGTTATTTTGTACTACAGATATTCTGTTATGACTTGCAACATCCAAACAAGGATGATAAACTCCCGAGCTCCATAGGTCTTCTGGTTCGTTTAGCGGAAAAATAGTACGCCACTGGTTTTTGCAAAAAACTAGTATCAATACCTAGATTTATTTAGTCAAAAACTGCTCATTGTTTTTTTGCAGAGACCCACCGCACCGTTTTCAAAATAAAAATTACATATTTGATTAACTACATCTCTGCAACTTTTGTTTTGGGACATCTAATCTAATCACTTTAGCGCATGAACTCCGACAGAGACCTACATCAAAATGTCCCAAAAAAAAAGGAAATTTCTTTATTTTCAAACCGACACCCTCTAATTTTGTTTGAACAATTGTAAATAAAGTTGAATGTACCTAGGAGCAGGCCAACCCGTGCCGAGTTGCGTAGGAGAATAATATTAATAATCTTTATTCCAACGGGATATATCCAATCACACGAACAACACAATTAGAAGTGATATCACAACGACATCAGACACACATGTGGTATACAAGTATAAATAAAAGTACATAAGTATGGTCCAAAACGGACGCAGGAAAGTAAACGCATATTAAAACAAGAAAGATTGATATTCAAATCAAGTTGGGTACTTTATTTTGAAGGTTCATTTATACCATTTATGTATGAAAAATAATATCGCTCAAATGTTCACCACGACTGGATTTACAGACGTCCACGCGATAGTCGAAATTTCCAATGACATTTTGCAACATGGTCGGTTCTGTGGCATTTATCTCGGCAATGATGTTGTTTTTGAGTTCTTGGAGGGTGGCTGGTTTGTTGACGTAGACTTTGCTTTTCAAATATCCCCATAAAAAGAAGTCCAAGGGAGTCAAATCGCACGATCTTGGTGGCCATGTCGCGAAATCACGCGATCACCGAAGAAGGACTGCAATCGATGGATATTGACGTTGGTTGTGTGGTATGTTGCATCGTCTTTTTGGAAATAAACATCGTCCATATCCATTCCTTCAAGTTGCGGCAAAAAATAGTCCTCTATCATCACGTGATATCGCTCAGAATTGACGGTAACGGCGTCCCCGGCCGCGATTTCGAAAAAGTAAGGTCCGATGATGCCTTTTGACCAAAATGCACACCACACAGTCACTTTTTGAGGATGCATCGGCTGCTCTTGATACTCACGGAGATTTTCGTTTGCCTAGATGCGCCAGTTTTGCTTGTTTACCGTCCCATTCAAAGTGAAATGCGCTTCGTCGCTGAACATGATTTTTGATGAAAAATTGGCATCAATTTGGCGGTGTTCAAGGAGCCAATCTGAGAACGTTCGGCGCGAAAAATGGTCGGCCCGACGCAGCTCTTGCGTCAATTGGATCTTGTAGGCGTGTACATTCAAATCCTTGTGGAGAATGCGGAGCAAACTGGTTCTCGAAATGCCCAATTCTTGGGATCGACGCGTTGTTGATTGTTTCGGATCGTCTCTCACTCTCTCCTTCACAACAGCAATATTTTCCGGTGTGCGAACGCTCCTTGGCCGGCCAGAGCCTAGCAGATTTGCCACAGAACCTGTTGCCTCGAATTCACGCACCAGACGACCGATGGTTGTTTCGTTTGGGCGGTTGTTGCGACCGAAATGTTCACGAAGCGCGCGAAACTGGTTTTTTATTTTTGCACCATTTTTGTAGTGCTCTTGAATAACTTTAATGCGGTCTTCAATCGAATACGACTCCATAGCGATCAATGGTAAACATTCAACTAACAAAATGACACGTCGGTGACAGAAAACAAAGATGGGGTCTATGTCAAATTGACGTTTACTTTCCTGCGTCCCTATTGGACAACATTATATAAATAAAGTGAATAAAAATCACATTGCAATGCACATCTCAACGTCCCATCATCGCATAATTAAGTCTAAGATTCAATAGAATTACATCAAGAGCATCACAATTAATATCACAACCCATGCAAAATTTATTAAAAGAAGTGCACATTCTATTTATAGGTGCCAGATCTGAGTTATTTGTCTTTCCATTTGGGTTGTAAAAAGTTACAGTCTACCTTGTAACTGTTTCAGATTCAAAATTAACTTTTAACAGTAACTCTGGGCAGTCCAAATTATTATTTATTACATTGTACATTAGTATGACGACGGTACGCTAAAGTGTCATAATTGAATAATTCAAGTAGTGAGTTGTGTAGAAATCTCCTTTCAGGGTAGTATCCGTAAACTTTAATGTATTGCATTGCAGGTTTGTTCTATCAGTAAGCGCACCGTTTCAGTTTTCAGATGAAACAAAAAAATAGAGGATATGCGTATCTCAACTCAAATAAAAATTTGTTTGGCCTTATAGGCTGGACACCATGGGCATGGTAGGGTAACTGCAATTGATCACGTCTCTGTACTGACCATATATTGTTCAACAAAAACACTACAGTGTGTAGCTTGGAGATTAATGATTGTTGATGAAATCTCAAACTCAAACCCGGATCTAAGTGCAAACCTAAGAATATTATAGTTTGTCTTTATGGGCGAGTCTGCCACCCGTAGCATCAAAATAGTCAGAATCTCTCTGACTGTTATGAAACCTCAGAGCCTTATTTGAATAATGCTATACCACGTTCGATCATTCGTAGATGTGAATTGTGTATTGAACAATTGGGTTTACATTTCGAGCAACTACTTTAGATTTTATATGTTTGTTCTAACAATCCAATAGCATTTTAGTTGTAAATAATTAATTTAATTTGTTAAAAATAACATTGGAAAATTAAACAAATTAATATTCTGTTTTTTGTGTTTATTTGGAGTTAGGAATTATTGCTGTGTTTAAAAACTCAATCTAAACGATCATCTTAATTACTTGTATTGCCCAAATCGAAAATGAAAAAAAATATTATTTTCCCATAAATAATTAAAAATGCATCGAAGCTTAAAAATCGAAATATCTCAAAAACGGCTAACTATAACGAAAACTCACAAGAGAGCTTTTTTATGCAGAAAAGTGCGAAGAATCAGTTTTTTTTATTCAAAAAGCAAAAAATTGCACTAAGAAAAAATTTTTCGGTCATTTTAATACACTACAGGTACAGTAGAGAGCGCCCTCTAGCGGCTACAGTAAAACTATGCCCATGGTTCGTTTTGTCGTACCAAAAAACCCTTGTATACCAATTTTCACTGTTATACATCAAATATTTTCGACCCATGTTTATATAGACTTTATGCATTGATTTTGAAAGTTCGATCGAATCTTAAAGTTATGCAACAATAAACTGAAACACCCTGTATAGCAACATTGTCAGATGCGTTGGAACTAATTGTCTGAAGTGGCTAACATGATCATTTAGTAGACTGCTGACAGCGTGGGAAAAGTGCACTTGACTGCATTATTTATTGAGCTCTTAGAGAAAAATACTACAACACAAGATGAGAAAAACTGTGTATCAACCAACAAATATATTTCCGTCATCAAACTGCATCCATACGTATGAATTCCAACGTTCATCTAGAAAATTCCTAAATTACCTCGTCTGAGCGTCCACAATTGATTCACATACTGGAAGATTACCAACATCAACCAAAATATGTCTGCACTTACTGTACAACACGTGTGAGCCATACAGAAAAAAGAATGATGTAAAAATATCAGCACTGGAAATTTTCATGATATGTATTACGTACGTACAGGTTTAATTTATTGTGCGCCACAATCAGATTTATACTAATACGAATCGGACAAAAACGTAATATACTACATCTGGACACGGCTGTACTGTTTCTAGCAATATTACTGGTTTTTATCGAGAATTTTATTGCTCGTTTTTCATTGCCTTCTAAACGGCAACACGTCAATGGACTAAACCCGCTCCACAAGGGCCTTTTATACCCATCTGTGTAGAGATCCTGTATCAGGTAAAACTCCTTAATGACTTGTTTGAATTGGGAAGAAACTTGAAAGTAAAATAATTACATGTTTCTGTCAAAATGCACAACTTAAGACGTTAAGATTGTCATAGTTATACCCTATTCGTAGTCCAGTTACTCTCCGGCACAACAAAGAAGCAGCGCCGCAAAGCGACAGCCGCTTAAGCGTTGCAATAGCTATTGGTCATCCGGCTATAAAACTATAAACAAGTGCAGGATTCGACAAGTTAGAATTCAGGCTTAGGGTATCGCCGGCGCCGGCTGTTCGTAATCAGCGTTTGTTTATACATAAAGCAAGTCGTCTACGGATGTAGCAGATGAAACTGGGAATATTTCTCCCAATGCTTACTTCAGCCATGCCTAATCTTAATAAAATAAGACCCCCCTGCGAATTAAATTCCATTGAAATGATTAGGGCAAATATAAAAAAACTATGCGGCTTCAAACGATCCCAACTAACAATTATCACTCCTATTAGAGTTGCAAGAATGATTATACAGTATTCCTTAAACAGCATTGTATACTGTAAGAACATTGACAAAACGCTCTTAGAACAGCTATACAAGCGGAATGGGCACACCTAACATTAGCGTCAGTGCAAGATTCAGTTTTTGTCAACTATACAACTATTCTGTTACGTGATTCTACTTTATTGCAACCAAACTATTTCTTATGTATTGGATACACGAAGTGAAGAATATATAACTAACACATTACAGTCATCTTGTTTACTTACATCCCAACTAACAATTATCACTCCTATTAGAGTTGCATGAATGATTATACAGTATTCCTTAAACAGCATTGCATACTGTAAGAACATTGGCAAAACACTCTTAGAACAGCTATAAAAGCGGAACGGGCACACCTAATAGGACATTTCAGTCATTTAAGAGGTTGTATAAGGGCTGCAGGTAACAGTTATAAAACAAAAGTGTAAGCCTCTTGCAGCCGCTATAGGACATTTGCGTCAGTGCAAGATTCAGTTTTTGTCAACTATACAACTATTCTGTTACGTGATTCTACTTTATTGCAACCAAACTATTTCTTATGCATTGTATAGATGAAGTGAGGAATATATAACTAACACATTACAGTCATCTTGTTTACTTACATATCGGCCATTGTGAATTTCATACACAGGTATATGATAAACTTCTACACTTTGATATAGGGCTATTGAATTACTTGCGCAGAAAATTTTATTGTGATTATCGTGCAAATCAGTTACCCAATTTCTACGGGCTTCGTATTTGATTCATATTTTGAAAATTTAAACTTATCTGCGTTAAATCTTCCACAAATCCTATATTTAGACACAATTACACTAATGTTTATCACGTTATATCTGTAATTTCGAACTGAAACATAATTATTTAATATTAAATGGAGGAATAAATGTTTGCCCAATATGGCGGGTGGTTGTGTATAATCATGGCATCGTCCATGTTGTCTTTAGGTTATTAGAATATTTGTGTTGCCTGCAGGTGTTATACAACAATTAGACAAATGTCTGAAATGAAATACCGACAGAGTCGAATGATTTACCCAGAATTTGTACCAGATCTATATTTTCTGTTTGAACAGTTGATAAACCCTTTTGAACCAATATGCATGAGTTGTTTGTCTTAAAACATTGGTTATGGTATTTTGACAAGAATATGTCAGCAGAATGTCAGGTTATGGTGAAGTTGTTTACCAACATATACTAAGTGACATATAAATCCGAACACCCAGTTTAAATGGTTTTATTTTAATAAAAGTTGGTGAATGTATTTATCTTACTGTAAATAACAAGTGAAAAAAATTTCAGCCTTAGCAGTTGGACATTCCGGTTTTTATACTGCTTTTTTTAATTCACTAACGCTCTAAAAATGAATATTTCAGCCGCAGTAAAGAATCAACGTTGGCGGATTTTGGTTCTTGACATCCTTTACGATCAGTTACGATGCCTAGAGTACGGAGACCTGTACGATTTCGTCAACTTAGTGAGTTTGATAGGGGCCGTATAGTGGGACTTCGGGAAGCTGGACTTTCTTTTCGGGCAATTGCAGTTAGAGTGCAAAGAAGTGTAGACACTGTGGTTCGGTGTTGTCAGGCATGGCTTCGAGAAGGCCGTACGCAAAGAGCAAGGGGCACTGGACGCCGCCGTAGAACAACAGACCGTGAAGATCGCCGCCTAAGATTATTGGCCTTAAGGGACCGTTTCTCCACTACCAGTTCCATTGCAAATGAATGGTTTGCAGAACACGGAAGACCTATTGGCATGCGAAGTGTTTACCGACGAATGAGAAGTTTTGGCTTGTTTTCATACCGGCCACACTGGGTCCTCCCTTTAACTCGAGAACACCGACGTAACGCCTTGAGTGGTGCAGACAACGGTCACTCTGGGATCAGGAACGGAAAAGTATTGTCTTTAGTGACGAGTCTCGATTTTGTTTAGGCATGCACGATGGTCGTGCCAGGGTTAGAAGGCGACGTGGTGAAAGGAGGAATCCACAGTTTTTTGTTGAAAGACATGTTCATCACACTGTTGGAGTTATGGTTTGGGGTGCTATAGCTTATGGTTCCAGGTCACCTTTAATCTTCATCAGAGGTAACATGAACGCGCAGCGTTATATCCACGAAGTTCTAGAACCCCATCTTTTACCCTATCTTGACACCCTGGCAGATCCAAGTTTCCAACAAGATAATGCCCGACCACATGTTGCAAGAGTCACAATAGACTTCTTTCAACATAATGATGTCACATTGTTACCATGGCCACCAAGATCTCCCGACTTATCCCCAATTGAGCACGTGTGGGATATGATGGGTAGGAGATTGCTCAATTTGCAACGTCCTCCTCAGACTCTAGAAGCACTTCGAGAGGAGTTGGTGGTTGCCTGGAATGAGATGCCACAGGAGAACATTGACCACCGGTTCTTTTACCAAAAGCTTATACCACTACTTTGCTAGTTGGGATAGAACATTCAGATTTTCTGACGTGAAAAATTTGTTTTATGAAGCTGTCAACAGAGTGACTGGAAAGATTGCATCCGTCATGTCCAAGAGACAATCGAAACATAGCTGTGGGATCTGGATAATATGATCGATATTCAAATTGAACCTGTAATATAATTAATATTAACAATTCGGACGATGATTCAACCACTTCAAGCGAAGAAGAAAGTATTGTGAGAAGTATGTGCACTTTTTTCTATAAAAGTAATCATCTACTTTTTCCTTTGACCATTGAGGAAAATACGGACCTGTACAATCTCGCTTTTGGGCTTGTTGTGCTGTGTCTGGGAGTAAATGGACTACGTATGGGGTATAGTGGAACAGGTGTGTGAATGTAAATACGTTGATAATTTGAACTGAAACTAGCGGAAAGCGATTATTTGGGCATGAAGGCTTATCTAAGATTGTATTATACTTACTACGTAAGTTTCAAGTGATAGTCAGGGGGGACAGAACAAGTTAAATATACTAAGTGACATATAAATCCGAACACCCAGTTTAAATGGTTTTATTTTAATAAAAGTTGGTGAATGTATTTATCTTACTGTAAATAACAAGTGAAAAAATTTTCAGCCTTATCAGTTGGACATTCCGGTTTTTATACTGCTTTTTTTTAATTCACTAACGCTCTAAAAATGAATATTTCAGCCGCAGTAAAGAATCAACGTTGGCGGATTTTGGTTCTTGACATCCTTTACGATCGGTTACGATGCCTAGAGTACGGAGACCTGTACGAGTTCGTCAACTTAGTGAGTTTGATAGGGGCCGTATAGTGGGACTTCGGGAAGCTGGACTTTCTTTTCGGGCAATTGCAGTTAGCGTGCAAAGAAGTGTAGACACTGTAGTTAGGTGTTGTCAGGCATGGCTTCGAGAAGGCCGTACGCAAAGAGCAAGGAGCACTGGACGCCGCCGTAGAACAACAGACCGTGAAGATCGCCGCCTAAGATTATTGGCCTTAAGGGACCGTTTCTCCACTACCAGGTCCATTGCAAATGAATGGTTTGCAGAACACGGAAGACCTCTTGGCATGCGAAGTGTTTACCGACGAATGAGAAGTTTTGGCTTATTTTCATACCGGCCACACTGGGTCCTCCCTTTAACTCACACACCGACGTAATCGCCTTGAGTGGTGCAGACAACGGTCACTCTGGGATCAGGAATGGAACAATATTGTCTTTAGTGACGAATCTCGATTTTGTTTAGGCATGCACGATGGTCGTGCCAGGGTTAGAAGGCGACGTGGTGAAAGGAGGAATCCACAGTTTTTTGTTGAAAGACATGTTCATCACACTGTTGGAGTTATGGTTTGGGGTGCCATAGCTTATGGTTCCAGGTCACCTTTAATCTTCATCAGAGGTAACATGAACGCGCAGCGTTATATCCACGAAGTTCTAGAACCCCATCTTTTACCCTATCTTGACATCCTGGCAGATCCAACTTTCCAACAAGATAATGCCCGACCACATGTTGCACAAGTCACAATAGACTTCTTTCAACATAATAATAATAATAATAATTAATAATAATTATTTATTGGTACTATTACACAAAAATGTGTTTGTACAGGTCATTTAAAGTAGAACATAAAAGAGTAAGTAAAAGTAACAAACAATACAAAAATAAGACAAACGTATAACACAAAGTGGCAATAAAAGGTAAAAAAAACTTGATAAAACTATTTTAAAATTTAGAGGAACAATAAAATAAGATGGTTAAAAAATTATGAAATACTAATCATTTTTTCATGTTTGTACTCAAAAGTCCTTACACACGTCTGGAGAACGATAAAATATAATACAAAAATAACACATTAAAAAAAACACAAACGAAAACAAAGTAATAA